CTCGCACTGTGACTGCTGGATATGGGCACCAGTGACCCACGCGACCCTGAAAAGGAAGAAGCGTGTACAGAAAATGGATGGATGGATGGACTAATGTAGTGGAGGCAGAGTTAAAAGTGAATGAAATTAGTCCAGATTTTTACATCAGTGTTTGAAAATCTGACATGTTTTCCAAAGTCAGACGTAACGTCCCCACACAAAGAGCAGATTGCACTAAGTTTGTCTCTGCCTCTTTGGCTGAATTTTCAACCAGACCAGATTTAACATATCTGTTACGATCTGCTTTTTGTCTCTTTTTGTGAGGAGCAACAAGCAGGAGCAGCTTTAGCTGTCCCCCGTGGCCAAGAGGAAGCCCCCTAACTTACTGGTTCCTGCAGAGAAAGTGATTCATAAACCTGCTGCCTCTCATTTTAATGAGCTTGGCCCCGTTTCCTCCATTCTTTTGATTCTTCTCCATACAGATCTCCCATCAGCGTCGTCGCAGCAGCGCTGGCGGTGAACTTCAGAATTGACATGTTTCAGGTTTCCACTCGTGACGTTAATAACAAGTGAGAAAAGGTGCCGGCTCACCCCGGGATATCGGACGCCCGCTGAGCTGAGAACGTGTTTCAAAGCTGCGTAAATCAGGTACAGACAGCAGGCTGGGGGAGCTCTGCCTTCTCAAGCACAGAACCAGTCAGATGGGCTCGAGCCAAAGCAGCGAACAGACTAGATTATAAATTTTATTTAATGGGACTCGTGAGTCTTTGCACCGCTATATGTTCAACCATCCCACTGGCTCGTTTCCCCTCAATTTACACTTCTGCAACATCTGGATAAGCAGTCTGCTGTTTTATCTCTGCTCCCTGGAACGGTGGGGTGTCAAGCTGCCACACAGACAAACCTTCTGACATAAAAAATCCAGCAAAGTGACGGTACGTTACCACTGAAGCAGTTGCAGATATCTTCATCTGTCACATAGGCCAGAGTTGATATGAGTTAAGAAGCAATAGAGACACAAAGAAATAGTTCATTTACCAAACACAAAAATAACGTCTGTGCCCCCCAGTTTAAATCCGCTCAGCTTCAGGTAAAACTGAAAATATTTATATACATCTACATACAATTTTTTGTTGTTTTTGAGCAGGAGTAAATTAAGAACAAAATATCTAATCAAAGTGTATTTAAACAGTGTTAAAAAGGATATGATGTGCAGCCTTCTCTCATGCTCCTGATGCTCTCCTCAACAAAAAGCTTCTCTTGGTCCAACATCAGCTCCTGACGGTCCAAGTCCTCCAGCTCTGACTTTAGGGCTACTTCCTGTGCATCGTCTCCGCCTCTTGCAAATAAAGAGTTATGTAAACCAATGTAAAGCAATTATACTGTGTTGTTGTACTTTGAACTCACGAATGAATACTTACATCCACTTTACATGGTTCTTGGATATTTTGGCAATGAGGCCGGCACCCTCCAGCACATTTGTGATGTCGTAGATTCTTCTTTTGTGTCCACAAAGAGTCTCGACAGCCTAAAATGACCCTCCCGAAAACAAACGTTATCACCATTTTACCACTATTATGAGAGATTTTCTGTTTAATATTTTGTTTACTCAGAAAATGTAGCATAGAGATGGGTAGAAATAGGTGAAAACCATTTATAGCTACTGGTTAAACACAACAACATATTTTTTTTTCAAATCCATTAAACATGATCTACACTCTTAAATTACTGTAAGGAAAATCAGAAAGATTTGAAATGTTTTTTTGTACTTGTAGAATAACACAAGCTGTGTAGCAAAATAGGTGCTTGTAGATTAATTAAATTTTAGTATGGTTATATTATAAACAAAACTTAAGACACTGTAAAAAAAACAACAACAACTGAGTTTTTGTGTTTCATGTGGTTCACGTACATATCTGAGATCCAGCGCTGTGTTTCCTACTTCCTGTAGTAACTGGACAAAGTTCCTGGTGAGCACAGCGAGGCTCCTCATCTTTCTACTTGGTTTTGGTTTTTGAACCAGCACGAATAATTTTTTATCTTTTCCAGGATCCATGTTGCTGCTCAGGACAGAAGAACAGAACCGATAAAAAAAAAAATGGTAAGAACTTCCTCGAGTTACCTGAAACCTTCCTTCAAAATAAAACCATGTTGGGCTTTCCTTGCACGTTGTTTTTTGTGTTTTTAAGCCACGAGTTTATTCATACAAATGAGAATTGGAGTGTAAATGAACTGTTTAAAAACAAAACACCTAAACTTACTCGACTCCTACACATAATACTAAACCCTACGTGGTTTATTATGAAAAGCATAAACCGGAAGTGTTACATTTTCACATGCTTTCATGCAAAAAGTTGCAGTTTCTTCTTAATCAACATTGTACAAGTACTGTAAGGAACTTCTAAATGCTCTAACATACATCACATTATCTACATATTTGTAACATTCAATGTAAAAACTGAGAACAGGATGGTTTACCTTTTACAGATGTTTTGATGAAAAGACAGTTGCTAATGCAGCGCTAACGTTAGCATTCTTGCCGATTACCACTTTAAGGTTATATCAAATTCATCAAAGCTAGAGGGACGTATTAAGCGTTGAATTCCGACGAAGAACACTCTTTAAAAGTACTTTTCTGTCCTTACCCTAATAGTGTGCCAACCTCCTAATGTCATGGAGCGGTTTTGCCGCCTTCTTTTCCGGTAGATGTATCCTTCACAATAAAAGCCCAAACTTTCGGCCTAAAAGTCTACGAGAGTTTGGTGTTTTCCACTAATGTAATTTACTGCAATTTATATAAAGTGTATGCTTTTTTTTAAATGTGGGAATAATTCAAACATTTTWAACAAAAGTGCACACTCATTTTAACAAATTAGAACTAACATGTAAAAAAATTAACCCAAAAATAATTGAGTTACTTTTGACATTGTTGACAATATCGTTACCTTGTAAAGTGA